ATGGGCATCATCTCCCTTCTCTGCACACCTCACTGGGCCTGCTGGGTGCTGTTCCCTTCCTCCCCGTTCCCCCAGCAAGGCTCCGGGGTGGCAGCCGTGGCAGGGCTGGGTGTGTGGCATCACCAGGGTTTGCCGCTTTCTGAATCAAATTATTTTTTCAGGAGTAAACATTGCAAAGCTGTTGAGCCTCGTGTGTTCCATAGCCGGCCTCACGTGTGGGCCGGGGCTGGAAAGGATGGACTCCTGTCCCCTGTGCAGTGCAGGCCTGGCCATGGGCTAACAGTGGCCCTGGGCCTGTGCCAGCAGAGGTCCTCCGTGCAGTGCCATGCGGTGCCAGTGTGGCTGGCACAGGTTTATGAGCTGTTCCCTCCTCAAGCTTTATCACTTTAATCTTCATTATGGAAACTCTGACGAGCTGCCTGGCGACTGCTTGGCGTGACCAGCCCCCTTGTCTCCCTCAACACCTCCAGCTACTGATCCCCTGAGAACTATGACTCATCACCCTCCTGGCCATTCCACATTTCTGCTCCCGTGGGGCAGGTAGCCTTGGGAGGACTGGGGATGTACCCATTTTTGGGGCAGAGACTACAGGACCCAAATGAAACGGCAGTGGGAGAGTGTCAGCCACCGGCATGGACCGACTGCAACCTGCATCCCAGACTGGCTGCCTCCTGCTCCCCTGCCTGATCCCTGCAGCCAGGCTGGGCTGCCACCCCTTCCTCAGGACCAGGCACAGCTTTTGGGTGGGGGCACAGCTTTTTGCCAGAAGTTTTTTGCCTGGCCCCAGGGGCTTGGCTTGGTGATGCTGGAGGGTCTCTCACCTCCTGGCAGCCTCCCCCTCTGTCTCCTGCCCAAACCCTTTGGTGCTGAGCTGCTGCCAGGGTACCACAGGCAAGGGGAGGATCAATGGGGGCTCAGGTCTGACACCCACCATATCGTGCCCACCTCGAGGAGCCAGTGTGTGCAAACTGCTGTGTTCATAGGGGCCTCCCCTCCTGAAATGGAGTCTCGGTGCTAGAAACAGGTTAACCTGTTTGAAGGGGGAGCGCCTGTGCCAGGCTGATGGAGAGCCTCAGCTCATCACCCCCAGGTGATGGTGATGCCAAGGCTCATTGCCCAGGGGGCTCAGTCCCTGAGAGCTTGTTAGATGAGCTGGGTCACTCCCCATTATGTCCTCTTTTTGGGGTCTCACTTCCTTCCTAGCACAGCCCACTGGTGCTGGAGCATGCCAGGCTGGCCAGGAGCTGTTTGGGGGACTGGCCTGTCACCTGCCTGCTCTGGGAAGCCTGACCCCTGCTTCCCACAGCTCAGCCCTCTGAGCTTTAGCTTGTGCTGCCCTAGCTGTGGTTCCCAGGTCTCACCCAGTCCCTGCAGCCCCCCCAGCCCGGCCTCCCTGGCTTTGTGCAGCCCTACAAAGGAGAACCTGTCTGGGCTGCTCTGCGTCCCAGGAGCTGGCTGATAATTAAACAAAAGCAAAATAGCTTTGGCATGAAACTTGACCTTTCCAGAGCTTGTGGGGGGTGGGGAGTTTTGCATAATTTCTGGTGGTGTTTATTTTTATGCATTATGGTTTTTTGCCAGACATCTCTCTGCTGTGGGAGCAGGGAATCCCTGTGTTCTGATGATGGGCTGGTAGGTGGGAGACAAGCTCCAGGCTGACTCTTCCCATGGCACAACAGTCCCTCTGTGCCCCACAGACAGAAGGAAACACCCTCCAGCCACTCTTCCAGGATAACAGATCCAGAGGATCTCTAGGATGGAGAGATCTCAGCACTAGAGGGATGGTGGGTGTGCTGACCCCATCCCCTTCCCTGCGTGGGAGGGAGTCAGTGATGCTACACCCAAGCCACTTGCATCCCAGCTCAGGGAACTGATCCTAAATTTTCAGCACCCTCTGCTTCATAAAAAGTCCTGCAATGCCAAGGTGCCCAAACTGCTCCCAGGAAGGGGCTCTGCTTGGCTTCTCCCCTTGATCCCAGCTCGGAGGGGTGTCCTTCTGCTGCACCCAGCCCATCCCTGTCCCTATTCCCTGCTGCGCCTCTCGACACAGGGCTGCCACCTCCTGTGCCCACGCCCAAGGCTGGCAGTGAATTAATCTTCAACTGGGTACCCAGAGTTGTTACCATGATGGTTATTGTCCCATGATGGTTATTGTCCCATGTCCTGCCCAGCACAGAATTAATGATTAACACCCCAGGTTCAATGTCAGCTCCTGCCTGCTGCCTTTTGAACAGCCCTTCCATCACCTCCTTTGATACCCCCACAAATAATCAGGGCAGGGAGCTGCCTAGAAAGCACACTTGGGGTTGGGTCAGCACCTGGGATGGTTTATCTCTGAGGCATGGAGGAAGAAAAGGAGAAGGGGACCCAGGGAGTAAGGCTATGCCAGGAAAAGTGTGCATTGCGTCACTTCTTCCCCTGGGCCAGTCCATGCCCTTCGAGGATGTCCTCTCCTCCCTAATCCGGGAACATCCTGGCCAGGCTGTTATGCAGGCGGGGGAAATTCCCCACAGAGGGCACTCCTTGGGTAGCTGGTGCCAGATAAGTTTGCTTTTGCTTCTTAATTTACTTCTTTTATCAACACAAACACAGAGAGGTGCAATTCCTCCTTCCTCTCACGTACCTGTCCCCATCAACGCTAATTCCCAGGAAGGAGGGGGCGGCTCCTTTCCTGAATCGCTGAGTGCTGAGCACTGCCTATCCCCTGCCAGCACAGATCCCTGTGCCACCCAGGGTTTGGCACATGCCAGTGGAGAATTCACCCTACAAATCTCCTGGGACTTTGGCCCGTGTGTGGCACCCAAGATGGTAGGGCAATGGGTGCACAGGCACCCCATGGGGCTTCTGGGGTGTGAAAGGCAACTCTTCTGCCTTCCCCGTATGGCCAGGGGGGACAACCTAAGGACCAGGGAGCACCAGCTAGTGCGTGGCTGGGGACAGCAGTGACCAGGCTTTGGCAGGCACAGGGCACTGACTGCTTGCCCAACATCCTTGCAGGGGAACTTTACCCTCCTGCCCTCTCTCACCCTGTGTTGCAGGTGGAAAAGAAGAGCCCCCACTCTGGCACACACCCAGATACACCAGCTGTTCGGGCATCTCCTGACATCTTCTGAGGGGCAATAAGGAAGTTCATGTTTGCCACCAGGTGTCCTTGAGGACCTTTGGAACTCATGCTTTTATGGCACAACTGTCAGCTTCTGGAGTGCTGCCAGGCACCTCGGGTTGCCAGTCTGAGAGAACCTGACAAGTCTAAGGGATGCAGGGTACAGGGTACAGGGTGCAGAGATACCTGGTGGCACCCACATGGGTTGGTGGACTGGGATGTGTGCTGGGGCTGGTGATGGGATGGGATCTCCTCTGGAGAGCTCAAAAGCTCCAGTGGTGCTTGGGCAGTGGGACGTGGAGAGCAGGGGCAGAGTGGGGGCACAGGGGAGGCTGTGCCAGTCTGGCTTACCCTCCACTGCTGCGCTTTCAGCTGCCAGGGCAGCCAAGAGCCACGAAGGGCAACTGGAAGGAATCACATCCGGGAGGAGAAACTGGTCCTTCGAGTTTTCCCAGCAGGTGGAGGGAAGGAACAAAGCTGGTGGTTGCAGGGTTATTGACAAAACTCAGTGCCACAGAAACAGCCTGTCCTGCCCCACCGAAACCCCAGGGCCAGGACGAGGTTGGAAGACAGAAGCCATCGGCTGGTCAGACATCACCCCCAAACCTGCTCCACCCCACGGGGGTGATGGTGGGAGGGTGTGTGCCAGGAGCCAGCTTTGCAAGGCAGCCCCACTAAGAGGGAGCAGAGGAGGACATGGCCAGGTGTGCCCAGAGGTGCCTGGCTCTGTACCAACCAGCTCCTGGGCACCACAACACCTCCGGGAAGGGCCCAGGCGGCTCCTACGTCCATTGAGAGGGAAAAGAGGCATAAAAGCCCTGATATCACCCACGAGGCGACAACAGTTTATGGGGGAATTGGGGCATTCACCTGTCCAGGAAGGATAAGGCTATTTTCTGGTAGCTTTCCCCCACACCTTGCTGTGGGGCAGGGCCAAAACCCATGTCCCCAGGGCTGAGTCACTCAGGGTGGGGAAGCAGGTGCCTGTGCCCATCCCACTGCCACCAGCATGCTGGATGGTGCCAGGGAGATGCCAGACCCCAGTGGGCCACAGCAGTGCCTTGGTGCAGCCCTGTACCCAGTGCAGGAGCTGATAAGGGGGTGCCATGGCAGGCACAGAGCAAGGCAGTGCAAGGGGAGGCTGTTTGCACACTGCTAATCACCCCGTCCTTCAGCACCACCCTCCCCCAGTCCCTGTGCTCTGCCCCACAACCAGGGAGCCTCATGTCAAAAATAGGGTGAAGCAGCCCTTGGGAACACCCACTCCCCCAAACCACCCACCCTGGCCTCACTTCTGAAATGGGGCAACTGAGGCAGGGCAAGCAGATCCTCAAGGGCAGTGAAGGAGCAATGCTGGGGAAAGAGGGTGGCTGGAAATGCCCCCAGCCCACCCCTGACCCCCCATCACCCCCACACACAGAGGGACAGCAGGCCCCCCCCCCCAAAGGCAGTGTGGGACAATGCCAGGGATGGAGATGCTCAGAGATGGGGCTGGCAGGATCCATCCCTCCTCACCACCCCATTTCAGGTTCCTGGGGCTGATGGGGAAACAGGAACACCCCAGCCAGCCCTGCCTTCCAAGCCAAGCTGTTGCTCAGTCCATGAACGGCTGCTCTGAGCAAGCAGTGGCTGTTGCAGAGGGAGGGTGGGTGTAGTGCTGGTGGTGGCCCCCACCACTGCCCATCTGTTGTGCAAACACTGGGCTGCTTGTTTCCAAGCACCTGAGCAGAGGAGGAGCCGCAGGCAAGGAGGGCAGGCAGCCTGAGGGCAGGGCTGTGCTGCCTGCAAGGACCTGGAAGGAAAGGTGGGGGGGACTCAAGGCAGCTCCCACCCCTGTACCCTCCCGAACAGAGGGTATTTATCAAAGGCAGTACCAAGATCAACTCCAGAAAATAACTTTTTTAATCCAAGATGAAAAATTTATTTGCATTTCTTTACAGCATGGAGAGGGGCTCACCCATGAGATGACAGAAGGCACACAGGGGGCAGGCCCGGCACTTGTAGGGCCAGGGACCACCAGGGCTGTCTTCATGCCAAGGCAGGGGCAGAGACCAGCCAGCCCCTCTTTCAGGGGACAACACAGCAACAGAGTCAGTGCTGGCAGAAAATGGGTGCAGGAGTAGATACATCCCCCTGTGAGGTGTAGTTACCACCCAGAGGGTGGGTAGTTACCTCAATAGAGGGAAGCAGGGAGGCAGGCCAGCTCCCTGCCCTGCCAGCTCCCACTTAGGTATACACTGGGGACAGCACATGGGAGAGGTACAGCACCCACCTGCAAGAGTTTATCAAGGCATTGCTGTGCCACTGCCAGATCAGCAGCCCTGAACAGCCCTGGTGCTGCTTTATCTCCTGCTGACATCAGCTAAACAGACCGAACAGCTTCTTCCACCCCACCCCCTTCAAAAACCACCCCAAATCACTATGTACAGACTCAGTGTGCCATATCAGTACAAAAATATACACTAAGTCTACAGATCCCAGCTCAGTAGATCAAAGTACAGCTATAAATCACAGTGCCTAGGACAGCATCAGACCCAGGGAGGGATGGGGTCCCCCCCAGGAGCACGGCACCAGCACGGGCGGGGGGCACATCATCTTCCTGCCTCGTGGGATCATTTCGCATCCAGCCGACAGTACAGGTACATGGAAACCGCCATGGCTGCAATCTGGGGGTGGCAAGATGCAAGTCAGCCCCTCTAAATGTGCATCCTCCCTCCCCCTTCCCAACATGGGTTTGAGTCACAGCCCACCGTCCCCAGCGCACCAAGGAGGAACAGCTGGATGTGCCCAGGGAAGAAGGCTCAGGGGCCTGGAGCAGATGGTGCTCCATGGGGCTGCACCAGCCCCCTCAGCCACTGAGGCTGGTCCCAGCCCCACCACTCACCTCCAGGTACAAGGAAGAGGGAGCACAGCAGTGCTCAGGCACTCACCTCCAAGGCACCGATGCCGGCTGCCACGCCACCCGCCACTCCCGCATTAGTCCTGATTTCTTCCAGGACCTGGTCGAAACAACCCTACAGGAGGCAACCACACAGGTGAGGATGACCAAGAGGGGGTAATGCCCCAACTGCCAGGGCACAGCATCCCCAGAAAGGGAGGTACTCTTCTCCCACCCAGAGAACACAGCCTTGGAGAAGATCTGGGGGCTCCAGGGGGCAAATTCAGCCACTTCTCAGCGGACATATTAGGACAAAGGGTGAGCAGAAGAAGGGAAAGCAGAGAAAGTACCCAAAAAGGTAGAGTTCTGCATGCTGGGTTCATGCCCAGCATCAGGCATCCCACTCTGCTCCCTTTAGGACCAGAGCAACAGTAATAGCTTTGCTGGTCTCTATCAGGGACAAGCCAGGGCCACCACAGCATCCCCCAGGAGTTAAAGCCCGTGGGACCACCATGTCCAGAGCTGGGCCTGGAGCTACAGGACACATCTCCACCCCTATGCCCAGGCACATCCCAAAACAGGCTCCGCCAGAGGGCAAGAGCCACCAGCGTGTCCGTACCGTGACATTCCTTTGTGCAGCCAGTGTGGCATTGCAGGACCCAGGCGAGCCACAACACTGGGGGGGGTAGAACCCATTCTTCTCATAATAGTAGGAGTTATCGAAGTCTGTGTAGTTATTCAGGCCACAGCAATGGACCTAAGAGGGGGAGAGAGAGGAAGGGATGGGGAGAGCATCCTTCATGTCTCCCTCCAGGCTCCGATGCAATCTGGACCCCACTGCGTCACGAAGGGTGTCACCCATCTCAACCCAGCTCTGGTAGGGTGCTCAACAGTCATCTCAAGACCTGGATTTCACCCTACATATACCCTACACCATCACATACATCTCACCCCAGGCATGGGACCACTAGATCTCAAGCAGGTGGTTCCCAGGCACCAGGGAAGCTGACGAGGTGGGGACAGCTCAGCACATCCAGGATTGTGACGGCATTCCCATTCCCATCCCACTGGCCCACCCAGGTGTGCACCACCAAGCTGGTGTTGGGAGGATTCTGACCCACAGGTGAGGGTCTCAGGGCTCAGCACACCTCTGTCATGGTGGTATTCCAGATCTGCGTGAAAGTTGGATCCTTCCCATACTGCTCCTTCAGGACAGGGGTCACCACAGCCGTCAGCAGCGACTCTGCCTGGAAGAAGAGGCAGAAAAACACCATCAGAGAAGGTCCTGGGGAACACCATAGAGCCAAGCACCCCCATACTGGTCTCAGCCTATGGGGAGGAGACCAGCAACACCCAGTATGGCCAGAAGTACGTCACACCACATCCCTTTGACCCACAGGGAGCTTGGCCCCTTCCCCACTAACCAGTGCCTTATGGCACCAAGGTCACTTAGGACCAGTGAGTCATCTGATAAGCAGTGTTAAGTGAGGGAGCCAGGAATGATGTTTGACCCACGGTTCACTTCTCTAGTGCCTAATGAGGCAAGCACCTTTCTCTCCAGGTGTTTTCTCAGCTGCCTAATAAAGGTTTGAGTTTGCTCAACATAAGGCATTAGCGACTTCCTCTCCCATATAGCTCCTACTCTCAGAGATGGAGAGGAGTCAAGCCTAAGCTGGTAATGGACTGAGGAGCTTGAGAGAAAGAAGCAGGCAAAACTTGCCCTAAAAAAAAAAATGAGGTTTATGGTACAACAGGAATCCCTGTTCCCACCACCCTCAGCCCAGCCAGGCTACCCCAGCCTGTCCATGCAGTGGGTGTCAGCAGTGACCAACATCCCTTCCTCCTGCAGCAGCGCCCACCCCTCAGCTTCCCCATCCATGGGCAGCACTGCCAGCCCATATCTCCTGTTTTCCCAAGGGGTAGGACATGTCCCAGATCAGCCCAACCCGAGACTCAGGTATGCCACTCACAAGAGTTGTGTAGACCAGAGCCACCACAGCAACAGCAACTTCAGCAATGAAGATGATGAGCACCACTGAGAAGAACTAGGATACAGCAAGGGGAGGGAGGTCAAACTGACAGCCAGAATTCCTCAAGGGCCTCAGGAACCCATCTCTTTCCCCAGGGCCACAGGATCTTGGGGGTTAAGCCCTCCTGCCTCATTGCCTTCAGCTTTGCTCCAAGGCAGAAGCAGCACAACCTTGGGGTTCTCCAGCCCTCCCTCTGCATGGGGCTGAGCTCTCTGGACACATTCCTGCTCAGGACTGACTACTGCTCAGCACCACCTCCTGCCTCCTCTCACTCTTTCCCCAGGCAGACTTTGAGTCCAGCACTGCCTTTCCAAAATCCACCCAGACTGCCACACATGGAAACATCCACAGAGCACATATCCACAGCGAAATCTGTCCATCAGATCTCCCCCACCACAGACCCAGCTCAAATGAGGCTAAACAAGAAGGTAAGTCAGGTCCATACCATCATCAGGAGACACTTGCTCTCCTTCTGGGCACCGTAGCACCCAAGGAAGCCGATGATCAGGAGGATGGCACCAATGACAATGAGAACATAGCTCACATTCACAATCTGCAGGACACTAGAGGAGAGCGCCCCAAATATATCCACAAATGACTGTCCATCCACTTTGACCCAGATGCCAACTCCTAGGAGGGTCCCGCCACTGAGCTGGGAGGAAAAAGGCAATGTCAACTTCCAGATAGGCAAGAGATCTGTTGTTTGGGGAAGGTCCTGGCACAGGTATTTCTTCCCTCTGCCATTTTTCACCATACCAAAGCAAGACTTCCTGGTACTGTGGGCACACTGGGGGCGGCCAGATGTAACACACCCCTCCACCAGCACAGCTGTGGTGTCACAGCTGCCCCTTTCCCCACCCCGAGCGGTTTCAGTGCTGGCAGTGGGGCAGAACGCCCCATGCAGGGCAGCCAAGCCAGCAATGCCACCAGCCCATAGCACATGACCCCAGAGGGGCCCACACAGCCAGTGCAGACACTGGCCGCCACCACCACCCTACCACAAGCTCCTCCATCCAGGGCAGCTGCCCACCCACCTAGAGGGGCAGCTGAGCAGCCCCCCCACCCCAGACACTCACAGACTCCTGGGCAAAGGTCAGCTCCTGGCTGCCTCCCGTCTGTCCCAGCCCTGACCTCTGCCCGTTTGACCTTCCCCACCACTCCCAAATCCTAGCAGGAACTTTAAGGAGGCAGTGTTTCACCAGGGCAAGCCTGGAGGCTCTGCACCCCCTTTCCCAAGGCTGTATCCTACCACACCCCCTTCCAGGTGGCTCCACTGCTCCTGCAGAGGCAGGGCTCTCGGGAGCTCCATTATGCTCTGCCCTGGGTGGGAGCAGTGTGTGCTCTGGAAGTACCCAATGTCCAAGAACCCCAACACCCCAGACCACAGTCACACACATGGGCTGCTCCTCCACAGATATGGGGCCCCCCAGGCAGGGACCCGGCAAACCCCCCTGTTCTGGGGCACAGAGCTTCAGCACAGAGAGGGACACAGGCAGCTGATGCAAGAGCCACTGTCCCCAGAGCCCGGCACAGCCCTTGTTGGAGTAAAACCCGCCCAAGCTCAGGGCTTTAGTTTGGGGCCAGAGACCAGACCTCACGCCCCAGCGGGGTCCCACGGACACACAAGTCCCATCTACAGTCACCTCTCCACACCCTCTGCTCCATCGCCCACGGAAAGGAACATGGAGGGGCAGGAGAGACAAGCCAGACGGGCTGAACCCACCCCACACTCGGCTCAGGGCACCCCCGGGACCCACTCCCGCAGACCCCAGCCCCCGGGATTCACTTACAAAGATGGCCAGGTTGAAGAGGATCATCATAACCTTGATAAAGGTAAAGCACCCCATCTTTGCACCTAAGGAGAGTAGAGAAGTTACCGAGGGAAGCCCCCACGCTGGCACCGCCGGTGCCCTCCTGCGAGCGGGGCCCAGTTCCCCTCCAGGGGAGCCCGGAGGGAGTCCCCCCGGGCACGGAGGGACGAAGCTCGACCTACCTGGACGGAAAGCAGATCCCAGCACCACCACCTTACCCTACCTGCCCCAACCCTCTCTACCGCCGCCACCCTCCCGCCGCTGCCCTTTAAACGAGCTCGGCCCCGGGGCCGCCCCCGCCCCGTCCGGCCCCGCCGGGGCCACCCCCTGCGGGTGTCCCGGGGATCCCGGTGCCTTGCTGCCCTCTGCAGGGATCGGGCAGCCCGGACGGCTGCTGCCCGCGCCCATCGCCGCGGCCTGGGGGATTTGGTGTCCCCGTCCCGCTGCTGCCGGGAGCTGACAACCCCCGGGGGTCGCACACCCTGCGACCCGGCTTAGTCCCAACCCGACAGAGCCCCGCGGAGCAGGAGGCTGAGACCCCTGCTATGGGGACTTTAGCGGGAAACGATATCAGCCCCGAGGGGGCTTCACCCCACGGCGGATGCTGCAGCTATGGGGGTACCACCCGCTGTCCTCCTCCGCAGGCGGTCTGCAGCTGTGCTTGAGATTTTCCAGCTGTGGACGGCTCCAGCAGTCACAGCCCCTCGGGTCACAGCCCCCCCTCTGCCACCCGTGGTCGAGCCATCCCATCTGCCCAGGATGATTCTGTGGGTGCGCTGCTGGTCCCCCCCTTCCCGGGACCACCCAGGCAAGGATCTCTCCAAACCCCAAACCTCCAACACCCTGGGCGAAAAGAGAAGCAGGCAAAGGAGGGCACGGGGGGGAACAGCTGCACAAGCCGGTTTACAAAAAGGAAAAGCCGAAGCTGGACGGGCCGTCCCCAACTGCTGCGCTGGGAGGTGGATTTTTGCCGGCGGGGACACAGTGGGGTGGTGGCAGAAGAGGACAGTGACAGCCATAACAGATGCCAGCGCTGGAGCAGGTCAGCAGAGACCTGCCATAGCCTAAGGGCTGCCAAAAGTGATTTTCTTTGGAAAGACACTTTGAAACAGGGCTGGTTTCCCACAGAAGAGGGCTACAAGAGAGACACACAGCACATGGGGGGGGAAGCTGACCCCCAGGCCTGCCCCTGGCGGTGGTCCTTGCTGGGCCAGTGCACCTTTGGGGCAGGAGCTTGTGCTGGTCCCCTCCCCAGCACCCACAGTGCATCCCTTCAGCTTGTCATCAGACCAAGGAGCGATGCAGGAGGCAGGGGAGAGAGATCTCATCCTGCAAGAGCAGGCAGGAAATCAGTCTCTATGTGCTTGCAGAGAGCCCACGCCCAGCTCCCCTGAAACCCCACAACACATTCCCATTATGCCTGGCCATAATGATACATTTCAGTAGGATGAAGTCAGCCCCACTGGACTCCAGCCAAATCCCGGTGGTATTTGGGGGAAGCTTCTGACTCTCCCAGGCACCCTGAGTATTAAGGCAACCTGTGCTGCAGCTGGGGGCTTTAGCCCTCTCCCCCTCACTGCCTGCAGCCTCAGCCCTTCCCTGAAGCAGCTGCTATGAAGCTGCTCAGGGTGAGGGATCCCTCTCCCAAAAGGGACTGCTGCTCCTAAATTCAAATGAAGACCATCATATTGCCCCTCTCCCAAAAGATGCCCCATCCCAGCCTGACCCTATTTGCTGCACAAAAACTCCCCACTCCAAAAATAATTTTTGGCAAATACGTAGATACTTGCTCTCCTTCCCAGTCATTCCCAGCCACAGGGAAAAACAAAGGACAACTTATGGGCTGCTCCCCTCACCTCCCCAGTGCCACAGCCTGGGGCTTGGCCACTCCCCAGTGTCACCCCACTAGGGAGCCAGGGCTGGAATTTCTGGCTCTCCAGGAAGGCCTGACCTGGCCACACAAGGACAAGCCTAGTGACATTACCACATCCCTCCTGCCCAGCAAGGCCACACCATCTCCCTGCTGTCCCCATCCCATCACACAGCCTGATCCTCCCTGAGGATCCCCTTCCCCAGAGCATGGGGATGCTTCCTCACCAGGGCATGGGACGCAAGGCTCCTCCAAGCCACCCGGCCCCGGGAAGCTGAGAGCAGGGAAGTGGCCATAAGTGGTCACTTCTGAGGTCCTCTGTCCCCACCCTGGCTGCTGGCCCATGCCTGAGGGAGTGCAGGAGCCAGGCATGGTGTCAGGATCCAGCCATGGTGTCTACACCAAGCCCCCCTTCTTGGTCTTTTCTTCAAGGAAAAGCTGTAAGCTCTGCTCCAGCCTCATGCTGCCCTGGGCTGCCCAGGGAAGTGGTGGATTCTCTGTCCCTGAAGGTTTTTAAGAGGAGACTGGATGTGGCACATAGTGCCATGGTCTAGTAACTTCAGTGGTAGTGGATCAAGGGTTGGACTTGATGATCTCAGAGGTCTTTTCCAACCCGTCTGATTCTATGATTCTGTTATTCTTCCAGCTTGTGTTTGCATTTTGAGCTCTCAAGTGCTGAATTTCCACCCTGCTGATGAACCTGGTCTTTGGCACCCTCTGGTTAACATCCAGGCACACAGTGGGCACAGCCTCCCCTGCATTAGCACCCTCCTACCCAGGGCTCCAGCAAGGCAGCTGCTGGGTGCTCTAAGGAGGCATTTTGGAGCAGCCATCCGTCCCTCTGCACAGCAAATTAGACAGCAAGGTTAACAAAGCATCTGGGGAGAAACCTAAACTGGCATCTCTCACCCAGCAGGGCAGGAGGCGTCCTGGCAGCCCTGAACAAGCCCTGCTGCTCAGCCCCTGCATGGATTAGCAAATGCTAATGATCCTGATCGATCTGACAGTGAGGAGCCCAGGGGAGTGCTAAACCAGGCTCACTTGGCTTAATGCAACCACTGGGACTCAGCTGGGCACAGGGGGCATCCCCCTCGTGCCTTAGTTTCCCTCCTGGTAAAGCACTGAGTAAGAAGCCCCAAGTGTCACCAGCCATGGAGACCAGCCAAGTCTGTGACTGACAGGATTTTGGGGTAGCTTCAGCCAGGTGAGTCCCTTGCAAAGGGCTTTCACATGTCTGTTTTGGGCTGGCAGTACCTATCCAGCTGCCTGTCCAGCCTCCAGTCAGCTGGAGAGTCTGGATGTATGGACACACTGCAATGTGCCAGAGATGAACCTGACTGGATTTGCAGATGGAAGTTACTGAATGTTGCAAATTTGTGCTGAATTCATCACTTCCCACCTCCTGACGCAGAGAAATAAATATCTACGGCAGCCAGAAGTTTTTGATGTCTTGAAAAGGACGCATTTCAGTTCTCAGCTTCAAAAAATCAAAGACTTTTGCCCACAGAACTGGGGAAATCACCGATTCCTCCACCATGGGAGGGACTGGGCAGCAGGACCACACCGATTTCCCTGTGGCTGTGGCTCCTGTTTCAGGGGAATCCTCCCCATTTCCTTGGCTATGTGCAAAACCACAACTTGAGTCCAAAACACAGGCGTTGCCCCATCGGGTGCCCTGATCTCTGCCATGTGGGGCCCAGGGTGTAAATACAGACTTGATAAGGGGGGGCTGCAAGTGTGTCCCAGCAGTGCATCCCCCAGTGTAAGGACCTTACGTACCTGATGTTAATCATTACGCTGTTTCCAGCTGTGTGTTAATAATGCAATTAAAGAGGGGCTCCAGGACATCTCTCTGCTTTTGTATCGGGCTGAGCTTCTTCCCTCGGGCGTATCCCCCGCAGTGACTCCCCCGGTGCCTGCCCTGCCCTGGCTGCCTGCCCACACCCCTCCAGATAACATTTCCTTGTTTCTCACATGTGTCCAGGCCGGCAAATCCCTCTCGAATTAATTAACGAGGGCCATGCCGAGGCGCCAGCTGCCGTAAAGCCCAGCCAGGCAGGTTCAGGAATGCAGAGGGCTGCGCTGCAGGGTCACATCAGGATAACTCCACGTCTGAGCGCCGACGCTCCAGGGGCTCCTGCAGGCGAGAGCCGGGCTGTGAAGCCTTTGCTACTGTCTCGCCTGTGAGGATGGCCAGGGCTGTGTGGTTGATGGAGATTTCTCCCACCAGGGAGACCCTTTCCACTGCAGAGTCGGGGTACAGGACCTGACCCAGCTCGGGAAGTGCTAGTGCCCGCTGCCCAGGGAAGTGGCACTGAGGGGCCATGGGTCCCCAGTGCCATGCTGGGATGCCCTGGCAGCACCCATTCCGACAGCTCCCGGCACCTGCTGTGCTGTGAAGCTTCAGCCCTGCAGAGCGGCGCAGGGAAGAGCCCCCCCAGCACCCCCAGCCTTTCCTTGTGTTCCTTGGGTTTTCTCCAGCGTCTTCATCCCCAGGTCTGACGTAGCCCCAACTTGGTGGTGGTGGCAGAGGGTGTCTGTAGAACCGTGAGGCTCCCAGCTGTCCATGGGTGCCACGCCGGGAGGTTGTTTCAAGAAGCTCTTGGCTCTTCCTAAACCAGAACCCACAGAAGCCAGAGCTCACTCCTGGGCACTCTGGGAGAAAAGCAAGAGGGAGGGAGTTTTCCTGCTCCTAAAGAGAAGAGAAAGCAAAGCGTGGAGCCCTCCACAGTGGGAAAACAGAGGTGAAACTAAAAGAGCGGACTGAAATGTCAGTGGAAACCTAAATCTTTTCTCTCTGTTTTCTCCAGCTGGGAAGGGCTCAGCCCAGTTCTGCAGCCTCACATTCTCCAGCTAGGCACGTTAACAACTGTATTTATGCTCTATTTATTCAGTGGCTAACTTCCCTGGGCGTGAGCATGGCCAGCACATCCAGGGGCCGGACGGGATGGCACTGGGCAGGTCCCAAAGCAAAGAGGGGAGCAGCGGGACCCCTGTCACTTTGGAAAGGCCAGGACAGGCAGTCAAGGCAGATGCAAAGCATCCCCTGCTCCCACCCAAGGTGGTCCCTCCGGCCCGGAGAGGAGAGGGGCTACAGCAGGGCGTTGGGACCCCAGTGAGGAGACACATCACTCTCCTCCCCATACCCCCATCGTGGGCTGCGTGGACACTGAGCAAAGAGGGGCTTGAAGGGAGCCACGGGATGCAAGGAGCAAGGAAGGCTCCTCCTGCACACTCCACAGAATAGTCAGGGCGAGGCAAACCAAGGCAAAGCTCTCGTTGCCATGAGTGCTGCTCATTAAGCCAACGAGGATGGATCTGTAGTTAATCAGAGCCTGACAGGCAGCTCTTCTGGCTCAATAAATAGCAGTCAAGGTCTGAAGCACCTTTTGCTTCTTCACAGGGTGCTCCCTGAGGGCTCTCTGCCTGCCTTGGGGCATGTGCCCAGCTCTGGCTTGGAGTGGGGTGAGAGTTTTGGGAACGATCCTGCTGCAGTGCAGCTGGAAAAAGGTGTAATGGGTGCTCTGAGGGTCCCTGGGAATCAAGGAGGGCTGGGGGGATTCTCAGCCCCATACAGTGGCAGGGTGGTGGGCAGTGAAACTTGGCTCCAGCAGGAGATGGTGCCTTTGTGTTTGGGGACCCTGAGGTATATCAGGAGGGAAAGGTATCTGTTGCTGGGAAGGAGGGATCCCACTCAGATGATGGGTGTCATACCAGGTTGTTTCCCTGCCCCAGAGCCCCAGGACTGTGTTAATTCCTGGCCTGTATATAGGGTTGATCCTAGGATAGAATGGGTAGTAATACTGGATGGTGGTGTACCCACCAGCCTCCCTGGCTCTAATGCTCTCCCAGGAGGAAAACACCTCCTTGCCTTTCTCCAGGCAGCCCCTTGAGCACTGGCACCATGCTCAGCCTGGGTGACTTGACAACCCCAGTGGGAGACTCTGGGGAGGCCAAACAGGGCTTTGGACACTCAGCAAAACCTCTTCATCCCTGATGGAGCACAGGGAACACGACTGGGGAAGTACAGCTCGGGGGAGGGCAGCGTGTGGCTGTTCACAACCAACTCGGACTCCGTCCTGGCAGCTGCAACAGCAGCACGGTGCCAGCAGAAATGGGACGAGGGAGAAAAAAATCCCTTTTAATCCCCTAAGACCAGCAGCTGGGCTGGATCCAGCTGGGGAGTGGGCCAGTGGGGACTGCATGCTGCCCAAGGAGATGCAGCTGAGGAGAAATCCCCCAGGATGCTGCTGCCCTGCGCTGTCAGGCCGTGTGCTGCAGGGAAAGGAGGGGGCAGTTTGATGAAATTATGAGTGAGAAGGGCCCTACATCTGCGTATCTCTGCTGGCCTGTCTGTCTCATGTTTCTTCAGTTTTCCCAGCACTTGTGATTCCTCCTTGGACTTTGTGCCACCCCTGCACTGCTCCCTGCAGTGGCCTGGATTCAGCCAGCGTGCATTTGCCAGAGCCTGTGTTTTAGGTACCATCTATTTTTAGGATGTCCAACCTGCAGCAAAGACAAGGAGCCACGACCATTTCAGAGGAGTCAGCGTGAGAAACAAGGATTTAAAAAAAAATAAAAATAAAAATAAAGCAAGCCTTTGTGCCTCTGGGAACATCACATCAACCCCTCTGTGCCTCACGGACAGTCAAATACTGGGACAGCTTGTCCAGACTCAGGAGGAGAACGAGGAACTGGAGCATCCCTGGGCTGGGATTCTCCATGGCGTCTCCTGCCTGTCCTGTGCGTGTTTTCTAGCCTGGCTAAAGGAGGGGATACTATGTGGATGCTCAGGGAGAGCTGGCCGGCATAAGGAGGGTGTCCATGGGGCACTGGTCCTCCTCTGTCCTTTAGCATCCCTAAGGATGGATGGAGACCCACAGATGGGAGATCTCCATCCTACAGAGGATGCAATTTTGGAGCAGCGCTGCTGCATCTGGGGATGAAGTCATCCACCTACTCCTACAATTTTCCCTCCTCCTCCTCGGTAGCCGGGCGCCCCCCCCCCCCCACCCCGGCGGGGGGGCGGCGCCCCGCCCCCGCCGCGGGCGGGCAGGCGCCGGCGGGC